ATGCAGCTGGGTAGATGATGTTTCCAATTTTTTTCAGGAAGAAAACATAGAAAGAGGGAGTGTTTTGTGGTTAGAAGATGGTGAATTCTGTTTCGAGCATATTGAGATGCTCTATGGAATCACCCAGTGGGGAAGTTCCTAGGCAGTTACATAGACAGGTCTGAAGATCAGGACAAGGATTGCAGCTGGAAACAGTTACTGAGAGCCCAGTAGATGCTAGTGATGGGCAATACAGAGTTGGCCTCTCTCTTCAGGGAGCTCCCAGTTTTTTAGGGGAGACAGAAGCCAAGAGGAAAGGAATGTACTCAACAGTGGTATCCCTGAGTAAAGGAGACATCAGCATGTATTTTAACCATCCATTACAGTGGATGAGATCACCCTGGGAAATGTGTAGAGTAAGAAAGAATAATCCCAGGACCCTGAAGAATATTAGCATGTAAATTTTGAGCACAAGAAGAACAGCATCAAAGAAGACTCCATCTCAGTTGGCAGAGAGGGAGGAGGAAAACTAGAGGAGTGTGAGAACATGGAAGACAAGGAAAGAGACCCTCAGGAAGGATGCAGTCAAGGGTTGTGCAACAGAAAGATTAAGTGAGATGAGAATGGGGAAATGTCCTTCAGATTATGGAATATGCAGGTGGTTATGAACTTTGGAGACAGCTGTTTGGTGGAGTGTACAAATGGAGGCCAGTGACAGCAAGTTAAAGAAGGAGGAGTGATAAACTAGAAGGAGCAAGTAGACAACTTTCTTAGGAAGTTGACTTTGAAAAGAGGGTGAGAGACATAGCTGGAAAGCCCCATGAATGCCAGTCTGCGTAGTTGAGTGCTTTTTATCCAACCGTGTTTAGAAGCCTTGGGATAAGTGCCAAGAAGGCAGATAGTTGGTGTGGCCCAGGGTTGAATTTTTCCAGAAGACTGCAAAAGAAGGACATACGAGCAGAGATTTTTGGGCAAGCAAATAGTCAGAGATGGACTGCATGCTCTCAGTTGGATGAACAGGGGTGTGAGGTCTAGAAGGAGCTGGTGGCGAGTTAACACCTTATCGGAGATAGAGTAGTAGCTGAGTCTCAAGGGTGACCTTGGATAAAAGTTGCCTGCACAGCTGTCTCACCAGATAGGATGGAGATTTCGTGGTTTTAATAAGGAGTGAGTCACAAGGCAAATCTCTGGTCATTTTGTCATAAACCCTACATTTGAGAAGTTTTGCCGCTTGGAAGAAAGATGTAATATCACTAGTATTTATGTTCATCCATCACACTGGAGGACAATGGAAGTGTTATCTCTATTGTTCTGTTTGTATTATTTCCTTTTCTAGCTGTACTTCTTTTGTTAAAATTAGCCAGAATTGACTTATCTTCAATTCTAATATGTAGTTTGGTTAGACACAAGGTGAGAAGATTGGTTTCGAGATACGAGATTTTGATGAGGAGAGTTTATGGAGAATTATATACATCTGAATATGAAGGCAGTAATTTACAGGAAATGGAAAAAGCAGAGAACATGAAGTTGAGAGTTCAGGACTGAGTCTCAGACCAACAGTTTTACAGTATGACCTTAATCACTTTGAGTTATTGCTTCTTCAATGAAAAGAAGGTTAAAAATAATAGTTTCCCCTGTAGGATTATTAGGAAAATGAAGATGTATGTGTACAGAATGCTTTGTAATCCAGAAAGCATTACGCACATGTTCTTTGTGCTGCCCAAACTGTGAGCAGTTCTGAGTCTTATTCGTATTCATTCATTCTCATTCGACTCATTCAGAAACAGTGACTGGGAACCCAATAGACACCAGTGACTCAGGATTTAGAGACAGCGTCTCCCTTCAGAAAACTCAGTCTTCCAGGGGAGTCAGAGACCAAGTGGAAAGGAATGTACTCAATGGACTCACTTGGATGCTATAGAAACACTGAGAAAAAAGGCACCTAAACCAGCCTGGGCTGTCAGGGGAAGCTTTCTGGAAGGGGTGACACCTGATATGAGTCCCAATGGATGATAGGAATCAGTCAGGCAAAGATGGGATTGGAGGAAGGCAAAGCTGCAGAGGGAGCACCCTATTGGAAGGCTGAGGTTGGAGAGCATGGAGCATGTTTTTTTCAGTCCAGCTGAGCAGGGAAACCTAACACAAAAACCTTGACTATGAGTCACAGCAAGAGAGAAGCAGTAGAAGGGAACATATGTGTAATTGAGATACTTGAGAATGTTTTAAGTGGTAATAGGGGAAAGCCACAGGATCAGGAGAAGTTGATGAGGGAGTTGACTGATGAAATAATGAGAGGAGCGTTGGAAACAAGCAAAGGTGGGAGATAGGACACGCAGAGGAGGGGCCTTCTTCCAATGTTTTGGTGGGGTGGGAAGGAGTCAAAATCACAAATAAGGTGAGGGACATTGAGAGATTCTGCCCTTAAAGCCTCCCTTGTCATGGTAAAGTGAAATTCATGAGGTTATTTTATATTCCCAGTGCCTAGCATGGTGCTCAGCACATAGTAGGTGTTCAATAAATATCCATTGAGTGAACTATTGTCATCCTGAGAAGCTGCTTAAGAAGCCCCGCAAAACAGCTGCACTGGAAAGCAAGGTAGCTTATCAATCTGGCTGGTGCACACTGACTCTCTTTCCAGTTCATCAAAGTTTGGCAGCCTGCCTTTTAACTTGCCATTTCTTGTTAGTATTGATGCAACCCATTTGCTTCTGACCCTTGGGAATGTCGCAGGAGTCAGGTGTCCCGAGAATATCTCTATTCCTTAGTACTATGCATAGGAGCAGTGGTTAAACAAAGACCAAACTAGTTCTTTCCCAGTGAGGCTGGCAGCCTGTCCACACCTGTTGAGCAGTCTGGCTGCAGCTCAGACAAAAGCAGTTTATCCTGCCTGTCTGGTTGTCTTTCTTACACATTTCAGACATGGTTCAAAGCTGCATTATAAAGGAAGAATCCATCCCTGAAACAGACTTGTATGGGCAAGCAGGGTGCAACAGAGGTGTAAGTTCTAGTCTCATCAATCCTTTATCTGTATGATTCTGAGCCTCTCTCTTCTCAGTGCATTGAAGAGGTTGGACCAAATGAATGCCTAGATCATCATGTGTGCCAGGCATTACAGATCAGGTTTTTTATTCATTGGTTTCTTCAGTCTAAAAATTGTATGCTTAGTTCTTACTCAATGTAATTCAATTCAATTCAAAACCTGTATGGTGCCACCAAATATGTGCACCATACAGGTTTTGAATTTGAATTGAATTGCATTAATTTCTATTCTTTCTAAGACACATACACACACATAGTAAAATACTGCCCACCGGTTATATAATTCACTTCCCTCATTTAATTCATTTCTTCTCAACAAATACTAAAGATATGAGAGAGATCAGATTTGATTTCTTTCAGAGAGGGCAAGATGTTAAAGCCTCTGAGGTATGGGGTGAGAAGAACTCGGAGGTGTATGCAGGCTCAGGGAAAGTAGGCTGTGATCACAGATTAATGTTTGCCATGGAGATGCAACTGGGAAGGCTGGCCACAGGTTTCATTTATTGTTATTCTGAGTTCTCAAGGAGCTTACAGCTCAGCAAGAGGGAAAGAGCTGCAAATAGATAACTTTGGTTTAGCCAGAAAAAATGTCAGATTTGTATGATAGAGACCACAGAAATAAAAATGCACTGAGTCCCTTTTGGACTCCTTGCTAAGGGCGTTCTCCTCCCTCCTCTCTTGCTAAATGTTACCATTCTTCTAAAGTTATTGTGTATCATTTCCTCAATTAGTTTTTATGTCATACTTCTATATATTTATCCATAGACAACATACAGGATTGTTCTATGTTTTTAAATCCTAAACAAAAACTGTAAGCCGGATTTTTCCCATCAAACTTTGTATTGACATTTATTCATGTTGATACATGTAGTTCTAATGCACTTATTTTCTCTGCTGTATAGCATTCCATTTGAAACATTCATTTGCCTATTCTGTGGTAGATGGATATTTTCAGTTGCCTAATTTTCTTTATTGTGAATAGTGCTTTAGTGCCCATTTGAATATATGTCTTCTTATACCATGGGGGAGTATTTTTGTGAACATACTTATGGGAAGCATTGCTGGCCAGTAGGTTCCATCATCTTCAGGTTTACTAGATATCGTGATATAGATATGAAATTATTATTATTTTTTTCTTTGAGACAGAGTCTTGCTCTGTCGCCCAGGTTGGAGTGCAGTGGCGCGATCTCTGCTCACTGCAAGCTCCGCCTCCCGGGTTCCCAGGTTTACGCCATTCTCCTGCCTCAGCCTCCCGAGGAGTAGCTGGGACTACAGGCGCCCACCACCACGCCCGGCTAATTTTTTTTTTAGTAGAGACGGAGTTTCACCGTGTTAGCCAGGATAGTCTCGATCTCCTGATCTCGTGATCCGTCCGCCTCAGCTTCCCAAAGTGCTGGGATTACAGGCGTGAGCCACCGCGCCCGGCCCATTCTTCTATATTTTATTTCAAATGTTTACATGTTTGTAGTTCATGTTTAGGTTTTTAATCCTAAAAACATTTGTTATTCACATTTGGGACTATACTATGGAAACTATTCTTATTGGAGCTTTGAAGTAGAGAACTAATTTTATTTTATATTTCTCTGAATTGCCAATAGTTTCAGCATCATGTATTAAACAGTTCATTTTTCTCCATTATTTTTTTCATTCCACTTCTGTCAGATGCCAAGAACTCATATTTGAATAGGCCTGTTTGGTGGGGGGGGTCCCTATTTGGTATAGTTCATCTATTTCTGTGCCAATCATGTACAATTTTATTTTTTTCAGGTTTGTAATAATTATTGATCTATCTGATAGGGCAAGTCTTATCTACTTATTATAATTTTTCTGTTACAGATTCTAGGATCATATTGTCAGGTTCTGTGAGAAATTCTTAGGAATTTGAATCAGTAGATTTCCTTTGAGGAAAAGCAACCTTTATTTACTAATTCAATACCACATTTATTGAGCTTTAGGATGTTGTTTCAATCTTACGGCCTCCATTTATTTCTGATGAGAAGTTCATCATCGTTAGTATGGTTCTCCTGAACACAAGTTATTTTTCTCTGGCTGCTTTTAAAATTTAGTTTTTTCTTAACGTGACAGCAGCTTGACTTTAATGTACCTAGGTGTCATTTTCTTTGTATTTATTCCTGTTTGGGATGCACTGAACTTCGTCAACCTGTACATTTATTTCTTTCACCAAATTTAGTGAATTTTTTAATCATTATTTCTTTAAACATTTTTTTTCTGCCTCATTTTCTCTCTTACCCTATCTTTCTGGGATTCAAATTATATGCTTGTTAGATTTTTAAAATATTATCACATAAAATACTGAGGCTTTGTTCATTTTTAAAAAAATCTTTTTTCCCCTCTGTCTGTCTTTCAAATTGGATAATTTCTGTTGTTCTGTATTCAGGTTCACTGACCCTTTCTTCTGTCATTGCTATTCTGCTGTTAAGCCCATCCTGCAAATTTTTTCTTTTCTCTGGTGAGATTTTCTACTTATTCGTTCACTGAAACCATATTTTCCTTTACATCTTTGAGCATTATTATAATAGTTGTTTTAAATAATCCTTCTCAGCTAATTTCAACATGTCAGGCTTGGTCTCTACTCTTCACAATGGATCACATCTTTCTGTTTCTTCTATGTGTAATAGTTTTAGGTGACATTGTGACTGGCATGTTGTAGAGACTCTGGATTCCTTGATACTTCTTTCCAGAGTTTGGATTTTTTGTTGAGTTTAGTTTTGTTTTACAGTCATTTAACATGCCTGGACTCAAACTCCAGACCCCATCTGTCCTGTGGTGAGCAGCAGCAGAAATATCTGTTAAAGTCATTTTAGTACTAGCTGCGTAACTTTGGAATGTATCCCATGCCTACATAGTTCAAGCGTCAGCCTATGCAAAATTTGGGGTTGTCTCCCCCTCTGTGGCTGTCTCCTTTCTAGGATTTCTGGCCTCACTTTTCAGCTGCTGTGATAGCTGTGAAGTTTGTTCTTTGGTTCTTCAAGCCAGAAATCTATGGACTTTCTATCCGAGCTTTAGTCACTCAAGTTGACATGGTCTGGGACCAGCCCTTAGACAAAAACAATGCTGTTTCTTTCTTCCGAATATAAGTTTCCTTCCAGTTTCTGCTTGATTTTGGTTGTTTCTCAAGCAAGTTATATATATATATATATACACACACACACACTATATATATGTAGTGTATATATAGAGTAGTTTTATATTTATTACAGAATGTGTAGTTGTTATCTGTGGGATGGTAAATCTAATAAAAGTAATACCTCTATTACTGAAACTAGACATTGTGATCTTGGATAATTTTTATATACAGTTTTTCATTTTGTAGTTATCACAGTTCCATGTAGTTTCTTCCCAGGGATGCTGGGTGTGGTTATTTAGTCCCTTTTAAAGAGGCAGTGTAGCTCTTTGTAGCTCTGGGTTTTTTTGTAAGCGTGTCACTTTCAGGCCACTGCCTCCCATGGTTCTAGGATCTTATCTCCTAAAATTTATGTGAGGGAACAGAACTGTAATCTCAGATGCTTATCTGAGATCCAGAACTCTTTGGACCCTACAGCTTCAGTTCCAGTGTGCCCATCAGACTTCAGTTTCTTCATTCTTAGACACTGTAGGTTTTTTCTTCATTATTGTTTTTGTTGCTGCTGCCCCTGCTGTTAACCTTGAATAAATCTTTTCTTAAAACAATCACAATTTACCTAGCAATTCTGTGTTTTCAGTAGAAATGAAGCGTATGTATCAGCTTGATTCATTTTGTTTCCAGAAGTTTGTAGCAGTGTTTTCTATAACAGACAACATCAGACCGTTCCCAGATCCAGCTCTTGCTGCTAGTTCCTGTGCTTAGGAGGGACATGATTCAGGTGGGAATATATGGACTTTGGGCAGGGGTCTTACTGATAGCTCTTAGAATAACTAGGGACATAAGAACAGCTAACTTTATTTTAGCATCTAGTATAGTCCAAGCTCTAAATCACGCAATGTTACTTCCATTTTACACATTAGGAAGCTGAGGCACAGAAAGACATAAATAACTTGTTTCACCATAAGGAGAGTCATATTTCAAGTTACTTCACTGAAAATCACAAATGTACTATGGTACAGTACTGCCTCAACAAACATTTTTAGTAATTATATAGATGGCCAAAAAATTGAAATTGTGCTATGTCAACTAGCAGTTGTGACACGATTCAAAAGCTAATCAGCACTGGAGAGTTTTTGGAGGAGATTACGATGTGTGTTTGCCAGATTCATTCTTCTCATAGGTGAAATTCATGGGATATCATTGAAAACACTCTCTGTACTGCCAAAACTCACACTAACAGAGGTCGTTTGCCTGTTGCTTTGAAGAGAAGTGAAAGAAAGGAAAGCATGAATATTCCATTCTTGGCCATAAAGAAACTGAGTATTCATTTAACATCCAAGGATGTTAATCTTAGAAGTCTGACCACAGTTTTTAGCGATATTAACTACCTTTCTTTTATAAAGAAGAATTTTCCCTTTGACTTAAGTCAATCCAGTGGTTGTACAAAGTCTCCGACTTACACGTAATAAACATATTAACAGGCTTTGAAGTTAGGAGTGATCCTCCCATATTTTCTCTTCAAATACAAATCTTTGTAATGTGCCTTGTCACTTACAGGGACAGGAATAAATCTTCTTAGATGTTGGCTCAGAATCCTCATCTAAATGTCCTTGGCATTTGGGCTAGGTTTTTATCTTCTGAGTGATGTCATTTAGAATATGTTGTTTTTCTGACATTTAGTAATGTCGACAGAGGAGTTTTTAAAATTATAATGTATCTATTGCAAAGTCCTAAACACAGACGACTTCATATTCATGTAAAACAGATATTTTAATTTTCAGTTTTTAGGTGAGGAAACTGAGCACCAACTAAAGTGACTTTGCCCAAGTTAACCAAGGCAGAAATAATAGCAAAGTAGATCAGATAGTTGTGTGGCCTTGAGCAAGTCACTTATCTCTCTGTGCCTTCAGTTTCCTTGCCTATGAAAAGGGGCTAAGAATAGCAGCTACTTCATAGGTCTGTTGTAAGGACAGATTGAGTTAATGCATGCAAACCACCTGGATCACTGCCTGGCACATAGTAAACATTATATAAGTTTGCTTTTTAAAAATCACTGTTAAATTCAGCACAAACGAATTTCTGCAGGAGCCAGGATGGTTCAGAAAAAAAAAAAAAAAAAAGAACAAACAAACAAAACATGGGCTTTGGAATCCTGGTTCTAACGGTGTCCTAGCTCAAGTTTCCTGTGTAGAGCCTCTGGGGTTGCATAGTAGGGTTGAATAGGGGTGTTTATAATTCTAGAGGAGAAAAAAATTGGGGGGGAAGAGAAGAGAGGCAGGAAAGAAGGCAAAGCAGTCATTTCCTGGCTGGCCATAGCTTCCCAGGAAAAGCAGCCAGTCACTCCATCACATAGAACATCTTCCAGATTGACTGTTTTGTATCAGTGTGCTCAGCACAGCCAAGGCCTGAAGGAGAGGGGAGAGGCATGCATGTGCCAGCAACTTAACCTGCCCTAGTATCACAGGCTGTGAGACTTGGTTTCCTGTACTCCTCTTACCTGCCTGACACACAACTCCTGAGGAAGCAAGAGAACATGTCCCCGGTGCAGCACTTTAACTGAATCCAAAAGCATCTGGATGAGCCAGTGCCTCTGAGGGTCTGGTCAGAGGTCAGTGGAGCTGCGTGCTGTACTGCATGCCATGGAAGCTGTGCCTCCGACTTACACGTAATAAACATATTAACAGGCTTTGAAGTTAGGAGTGATCCTCCCATATTTTCTCTTCAGATCTTATCTCCTAAAATTTATGTGAGGGAACAGAACTGTAATCTCAGATGCTTATCTGAGATCCAGAACTCTTTGGACCCTACAGCTTCAGTTCAAGCTCCCATGACCCACAACAAGTGAGATTGTTGTGAGGATCGGAAGTAATACACGTAACATGCCTTTCAGTGCAGGCACTCAAGAAATGACACATCATATTTTCTTAACCATCAACATTTGAAATAGAGGTCAATTTCCTTCAGCATTTGAATAGATGTCAATTTCCTTTAACATCTGTATTTGACTCTGGAAGCAGTTTGAATTCAAAGATATGACTGAGATGAACTAGAAGCTGATACCACTGCAAAAAGGGAAATATTTAACTCTAGGACATATTAAAGGAAATTACTCAGAAAGCTCATGCCAGAGAACAAATGCCATGGATATTTTTAAAAGGTCATCCAAAGAGGTAAAAGGACTTACGAAAAGTCATGAGAATCAAGAAATGATTTTCATGCCCCAAAACATGTGACTTATATCCTAATTCACTATTGGATAGTGAAACAGCTGTCTGGAAGGTTTTCCCTTCTGGAAACCATGATGTCTTATGGGATTTCTTTGTGCCTCCATAGCATAAAGCTGCCTTGGTTTTCTTGGGTTATTATTAAAAATGGCTGGGAGAGATCATTATTAGAAGTATCCTAATAACATACTTACTGGTTGAGATTAGCTAATGGCAGAAATTATGGAAATTGTAAGAGCTATGTAACCATTTTGCTTTATGTCATTATAGATGTGTTTTTGTTTGTTTGTTTGTTTGTTTTTAGCTAGGGGAAAAAAGAGAACATGAATTCAACTTTTATTCTGTGAGCACAGTGAGTCCAACGTATTTAGCACCAGTCTGGACATCTCAGGGATGAAAGCAGCATCAGTGTTAGGCCAAGTGGAGGGTTTGATATAAAGCCAGGAAAGGATAAGTAAGTGGAAGATTGCTGGGCTCTGGGCTCCCTGAGATCAGACTGGATGTGGAGCTCAGTGGAAGGGCTGTGTTTGGGAATCAAACTTCTGACTCTTAGAACCATAGACGTAATAGCAAACTGGACTCACAGGTTATGGGCAGGAGAGCTGGCTGGGTGATTCCGCATCTTGGCATTTCCTTTTCTTGGCACAGGCGCAGGTGGAAGGCAGAAGAGGAGCAGGCGCATGGCTTTTGGGTCAGCCAGAGCCAGGCTGAGAGGTGACTTACTGACTTTCTGACTCTTCACCTCTGTCACACTATCTCACTGTCTGCAAAGTGGGAATGATGACAGTACTCCTCATGAAGTTGCCATGAGGATCATTTGACATGATGCATGAAAAGCCCTCAGCAAAAGCCTGGCACACAGGAAGCTTCACTAGCAGTTTGCTGTGTTAGCTGTGATTGCTTTGGCAGCCAATCTGTTTCTTACATGTTATACGCCTCTCAGGGGCTTTTCAACCAGAAGGCTTCTACATCTGAGTGTGTCTGCGGTATGTAAGGGAAATAATATCTCTTTGTGTCATTCACTGAATAACCTGCAGCTGACAGCTTTCTCTATGGATAGCTCACTGATTATGTCACTTAATCAACAAACGTGTTGAGCAGGTGCTCAGCTGGGTGTCTGTGGTGAATGCCCATGACTCTAACCCTCTTCCCCTAGGAGTGTCCCTGTCTAGTGGGAAGACAGGTGTGTCAGTGCATCAGCACATGATTGCAGCTCAGTGGACATGCTTCTTCACCTAAAGGTCTTGAGGGTACAACCATGAACCTATGAAAATATATGCAAAATGCTGCATGTGAACCCATGCTCATTTATTTCTGGGGTTGTGGGTTCATAGATTTCATCAAAGTTGCAAAGGGTGCTGGACCTCAAAGGGAGCAGGAGCCACAATCATGAGAAAAGTGGCGAGCACTATGGGGATGCCAAGGAAGGATTGCATAACTAGCCAGGGACAGCAGGTTGGATGAGGCCAGGAAGACATGCAAAGAAAAGGAAGGACATTAGCTGGGTCTGGCTGGCTAATGCCTTCCATGATTGTTTTTGCAGAGGAAGGCTTACTGGTTTCTCTTATACTTAGGGTAGTATAGTCCAGAAATTTCAGGACTGGTTGAATGGAAGAGACCCATTCTTAGAGTAGCCCAGCCAGAAAGACAGTTGCAAGATGGTACGTTAGTTTTGGCAGCTAAAAAAGAGATGAAAAGCAGGATAAACTCTGTTAAGATTATTTTTTCGGGGGTCCCCTTTTAATAGAATTAAAGATGACACTAGCAACCGAGATGATTTTTGCCTGTAGATGAGTATCCATGATCACATTTACTCCTCACAGCTTCCCAAGGGAGGAAGCATGAGTGGAACATTTCATAGAGGGACACTGCAACCCTTGGACTGGTAGTTGCCCAGGTTACACTCATAGTAAGGGCAGAACAATCCTAGGTCATTTGATCTTTCCCTTATACCATTGACATTTCATTTTCTGTCCAAGGTACATAATCACCTTCCATTAATATTTGTGGAAGTCATGTTCCTTTTTATAAAAAGTCAAAGATCCAATTAAACATCAGAGGATATTTAAAATGTATTTTCTCAAAACATGTAGTCTGGAGTGTAAAATATGTTAATATCATTTACTTTATTGAAAGTCAGCTAAACTCAAAAGATATTTATCCAAGTCATATTATATTACTAGAGATTGAGTTTAGTACTTGAATCCACATTTATAATTTTTATATCTCAGAGAGCATCAAGTCAGTTCCAGAAATACAGTTGCTGTATGATGTGTTTTCGAAGGTTATATATTATGGATCCTTTAATTTTCATCATCGTGAAAAAATGGGAAAACAAGATATCCCCACAACTCAGTTTGGGTTTAAACTATCTAATCATGATTTTTTTTTTTTTACATTCATACATTATGATATGATTTTTGGCTTAGGAATTCATTGCATTTATTTCTCTCAGTAAGTACAATAGCATCTAGAAAAAAATGAGGAAATTTTTGCATATTATGTTAGAAAGGAAGCAATAAGTAAATTGTAACTATGTTCACGGAGTGAATGTGGGTTGTTGTTCTTTTAAAAATGGTTTTACTTTTTAGCAATGCATAGTGGCACATGCCTGTAGTCCTAGTTATTCTGGAGGCTGAGACAGGAGGATCACTTGAGCTCAGGAGTTCAAGGCTGGATTGAGCTATGATCACACCACTGTACTCCAGCCTGGGCAAGAGAGCAAGAGCTTGACTTAAAAAAAAAAAAAAAAAACAGTTTTATTTTAAGAGTATATGAAGCAAAGTGTAAAAGCCTCCCAGTGCTAATGTTTCCTTCCACCCACAGTCCCACCTCTGGATTCGTAGGTAGCTGGGCTTTGAAGTCAGATCAATCAAAGTTGATCACCAGCTTCATCACTTGCCAGCCGTGTGGCCCTGCCAAGTTTCCTACCTTCTCTAAGCTACTCATTAAAAATGCTGGTAACAATGGGACCCAGCTCCTAAAGTTATTGTGAAGATTAAATGAGATCATGATATTAATCTCTTTGTACGGTACCTGGCATGTAGTACAAATTTAGCAAATATTGGCTAATGTTCATATTTATGTTAATATCAATAATTATAGTTGATATTATTGTATTTTGGCTAAGGCAGTGTTTATTTGTTATCTGAAAAGGAAAGTGTCTACTTCTCTTTGATGTTCTACTTCCCAATCTTGTTGAAAGTTGAGAATAGAAAATTCTCTGATTTCATCACTGAATAACTGGAGGCCATTAAATCTTCCCTGCAAAGATTTTCAGTTCTATAATTCAAAACGAGAAAAAAAAAGCCCTTATTTACTTTCCAGATACAAATGCAAACAGAAATAAAACACAGCTGCTCTTATCTCTCCATGGGCACCATCTCTTCTTGGTACTGAAAAAGATAATGATCTTGCAGTATAATTTTATAAGGAGGTAACAAAATCAATTACATTATCTCAAGTGTAAACACTGAAGCCCTTATCCAATTGCTGACTAATATAGGCTGTGCCTGTGGCAGCTGCTCACCCCCTATTATAGATTATTTTAGATGAAAGAAAACATTGACTGATAAATGAAGATTTGACAACATAGGAGCATAGATGGTTTTACAGCTTGATATTCAAGAATGAAACCAGCAATACAATGGTTGGATGAAAAGTCAGCACACAATGCCCATGGACACAAGTAAAGGTAAAGATGGACAAATGATTCATTGTCTATTATTAAATAGTAAAGTCTTTACAAAAGCATGAACAAATCTGCAAATGCTTTGGGTCCATTTCCACATGGTCTTATAAAATATTATAAACCATAAAAGTAAAAGGCTAAGAAGGAACTCAGGAAGCTGTTGAGATATGTCATTTTCATAATTGAAGTGACTGTGGGATTAGTATGATCCCTTCCAAGGTATGGTGACTAAAGTAGAGGACATCTCTTGTCACAGGACTTAAACTTCATATAAAAGATTAATTTAAATTTATAGACATTCAAGCCCATAAAATAAAAGTAATAATTATGGGCCTCTGTAACCAACTCCATAAGATTTTAGAGCCAGACAAAATCTGCTTTATAAACTCAACACTGACACAAGTTGAGTGACCTTGGACGATTGCTTAACTAAATCTCTCAGAATAATCATATCTACCATGTGGGGTCATTGTGAGTATTAAATAACATAACTGTGCTACAATTGTGCTTAGCATGTAATAAACACTTGATAAATGATAAGATGTTTTCTTTGTTTCATGTCTCACTCTTCAAGTTTTTCATAAGTGAATATGCTTCTTTTTTCTCTATCTGAAGTTGGATATTTATTTTAGCTTGATGCGTTAGCTCTGTAACACTGTATAGATTACTGAAGTCTTTGTATTCCTTAAAATTAACAGGCATTTTTAGGATCAGCACGTAGTTCAAAAGGAAGGCTATTTGGAGTAACCTTTGTCTTCACTATGTTAGGAAAGTTGACAAAGTTAATAAGTCTGTTTAATCAATAAAAAATATCTGAAGTCTTTAAAAATTAACAAGCTGCAATGATATGATGTAATTTCTTATCTGTTTTTCCTTGTCTCTTTTTCTCTAAATTTTTCATTACCTTGTATTTTGAGTAGAATAAAATCTGACACATTGTTAAGTGTTTGTTGAATGAAGAGGAAAGGACATACATATTTTGATTTTGACCAAAGGCAACGCTCCTCAATGGAGGCTGAATAGATCTTAATTAAATTATGTAGGTTAGAAAACATTCTGCTACCTGCTTCTCTTACTCACATGCAAAACTACTCTGATTAATTTCTTGGGCTAGGAAAAGGGTTAAAGTAATTAAATTATAAGGGAGGCTGAACACTTTTATGGCATCTTTTATCTACAGTTAGGGTTTTTGTGTTGAAAGAACTCTAGAGATGAAATGGCTCAACCTCTTCAATTTATAGAGAGGAAACAAAGACCCTGGGAATGTAAATGGCTTCGTCTTGTGGTAACCGAGTTGCAGGAATTTATTTTCAATTCTTCCTATTAGGGTTTGCTCTTAAATGGACTTGCCCCAGGGTACTTATTTATATTAACTGTTCCATCTATTCCAAGGGCTTACATAGCTACAAAGAATAGATAGCAAGGTAAAGATTGTGATTGAGAATATTGGCTTTTGGATTAGAGAAACCTGAATTCCAGTCCCTTCTTCACCACTTACCAGCTGTGTGACCTTGGACAGATAGTTTAAAATATTGATCAAGTTACTTAGTCTTTCTTTGCCTCAGTTTCCTTATCTATAAAGAGGGAATGACAAACTCCTGTCATGCTCAAAATAGAAATAACAAACCCTCACAGATTTATTATTAATGACAAATGAGACAATGTATGTAAACAATTATAACCAGCGAGGTGCATTCTAAACAATTAGTAACTATTAACTATTATAATATAAATTAGAAGTGGGAGGGAACATTGAAGGGAAGAGATAGTCCTATACTTTGCTATAGTAGGCCACAAATTTGGCTCCAAGCTTTCTTACAGCCGACATACAGAAAGAAACATGATTGATTACATAGTTCCAGGGAACTTAGATATATTAATTTTATATATCTGGCCAAACCAGAACCTCCGTCCTTCACTCCCGTTTTTGAATTTCCAAACAGTCTCTTTCTCCCAGACATAACAGTATAGGTTTTAGAGACTCATTGAGTTATAATAAGGGCTGTATAAGTTTTCCTGAGACTTTCTTGGCATTCCCATATAGCCACTTAGCTTTTTGGTAGCACTTGCAGGAGAGACCCAGATAAGTGTCTTCCCCAGGCAAATTTCATTCTCAAGAAGCCCAAGACCTTGGAGGAGGCCAGGGGTGAACTTTGGGTTATATGCCTCATTTCCCTCACCCATATCAGGTGTTCCTTAATCACAGGGGCCTGCCTTATTCACCTTCACATTTTCATTCATCTCATCTCACACGTGGTGGATGCCCATTGTGATTTGCAGTTATAAATGAACATGTGCTGAAGAGTTACTGGTATGAGGGTCCTTCCGTTTTAGGGCCTGGTTTTAACAGAGAGATTATTTCTATATCAGGCAAAACAGACGTTTCATCCAACTCTGATGACATTGTGCGAAGCCTGAATCTCAATATTTTACATGAAAAATAATATCCATGTGAACTCTTCTGCCCTGGGTACTGATGTGCAACGACTTGTGTTATTAAATATCAGAATGAAATAGAACTAGTTTTCTTTAAAGAAATAAAAAAAGGAGGGAAGTATAATTCTAGCACCTCAGATATCTTTCGGAATAGGTACGTTAATCAATTTCCTTTCAAGACACATACGTCATTATACGTCATGTAAAGTCGTGGCCAAATTCTCATATCTCGAAAGGTAATATACACTTTGCTTGTGATATCACCTACAGAGAAAATGTAGAAAGATTATGCTATCATAAAAATATTTCTAAATCTGTATATTTCAATATGTGAAATACTCTAAATTTTCTTTAGGAGATATTTAGACTTGCTTATTTTACATTATATTCTTTCTTCAGCTGTATTTATTATAGCAAATAATCTATTTCTTTCTCTGAATAAGCTTTCCCAAACCAATCTCCCTTGAATTACTTATCCAAGTTAATAAAGTCGGATGAGAGAAATGTTGGCGTTCAATGTGGTGTTTCTTTTTTTTTTTTTCTTTTTTACAATTGAGTACTCCGTTTTAATTTACAAGTTAAGAATCCTTTAAATGTTAAACAGGAACAACAACTAAAAGGTTGTTTTGGATAACTGAGTCTCACACAGAGCAGGCGGAATTGTTTCCATATGCTGTATCTAAGTCTGGATTCAAATTGTGGAATAGCATTTTATGTTATCAAAATGCTAAGTCTTTGTAACCCTTTTCTTCTTTCCTAGCCCCTTTGCTTTTACTCTGTCCTAAGTTAACATGTCACTGAAAACCGAGTCACGGGTAAATACCTCTGCACTGCAGAAAATTGCTGCTGACATGAGTAATATCATAGAAAATCTGGACACGCGGGAACTCCACTTTGAGGGAGAGGAGGTAGAATACGACGTGTCTCCCAGCGATCCCAAGATACAGGAAGGTAAAGACGGATGATCTGAGCGGGGAAGAAAAGAGTTTGTCAGGGTTGCTTGGAAGAGCACAAATTTGAAGTAACCAGCAAATGATTGATTTTCCTTGCAGATGTAACACTGGGCTCAGATCATTTTGTAAGAGGCTTTCTTGTTTTAACACATGGTTCTTGAAAGAATGCCTGTAAAAGACAAGTTATGCTAATCATATATTGCATTAACTTTATTTACTTATTTTTTAGTGTATATCCCTTTCTCTGCTGTTTATAACACTCAAGGATTTAAGGAGCCTAATATACAGACGTATCTCTCTGGCTGTCCAATAAAAGCACAAGTTTTGGAAGTGGAACGCTTCACATCTACAACAAGGGTCAGAGCGTTTATGGACTCACCATTTTTTCTTTTGTCAATATATGTGAATTACTACATAGCCTTTCATTTTCCTCCCTCCTAGCTATGACCATGTTTGTGGCTGTTTGTTTGTTTTTATTTATCTATTATTTCTAAGTCATTGTCTCCTGTCAAGGTTTTGCCTCCTTCCCACTTAATCTTCATTCTTATATTCCTCTTTCTTCATTCGAGCCAAAGCTCTTTCTTTTAAAAAGGCATGTAAGGCAAATTAACAATGTAATAAATTGCAAAGTGCCTCTCTTACTCTTCTTCTCTCCCTAGTTTTCTGTTTCATTTGGACTCTTGATGCGTATTTGTTCCACCTTGCATGGCAAGTATAAGTCAACAAGAATTTTAGCTTTCCTAATGTTTATTTAGAATGAAAATGTTGGTGCTCCCTGGCTCTTAAGAAAAAAAGCCAGGATACTGGATTGGCCAGTGCCATTACCCCAAAATACTGATGAGAGAACTCTGCAGGCATACTCTGCCTCTCTGATTGGTTCCTAGAAAACCATCCTTTAGTCCTCATTCATGTGCTTTTTCATTGAATGCTGAAAAGGCTTTGGAGTAAAATGTCTTCAGCAATCAAATCCTTTGAAATGGATTGGACTAGAAGAAACCTTTAGGGTAGCTCCTTTTCTCTGTTCCTGCCTGGATTTTGCAGTTGTTAAGTCTCCAGGGGAGGAAAATGGCTGCAGGGTGGTGACTTTTGTCCCTTCAGGCTAAGCTCTAGCCATGGCAGAGTAAGGCCACCATTGCCTCCTGCCTCAGGGGAAGCACAGATTAATAACCAGCTGTCAGGGCACAGCTTTGCCTTCCCTTCCTCCTTGTCTTTTGGAGATAGCATGCGCTGCATCGCTTTCTGGGTGGTTTTGCCTCGTGCTGTGTCCCAGCTTACCTGCACATGTACTGACTTCCAGCCTGCACTCACTTGGGTGTCAGCCTCTGGTTTAGGCTTTCCCTGTAACTCGGGTCCATGTCTCCCTGATACACCACTGAGCAGAACTCACTCAGAAATGTCTCTAAGATGAGCTTTGTTTTCTTTTTTCACCTGCCAGCATTTAGATTGAAAAATAGTTAACATGTGGGGGTAAATGACAGACTCTAGAGCCAAACTGCATGATTTAATTCATCTTTGCCTTGTGATCTTGAACGAGTGACTTAACATCTCTGTTCCTGTTTCCTCTTCTGAATAAGGGGTATAACAGTGCTTACCTTATAGGCTTGTTATGAAGATTTAGTAATGATAATACATATGTATAATATTATACAAATGTACACTGTATACTCATTACCGCATTCACTTTCTCCACCCATGCCTCCTTAATACTGGTGGCTCCTCAGGGTGGGTGGGTGGTATAGACAAGGCTGGACCTTGGAATGTGTTTCACAGGAGAAGGAGAGAAGGCATGTCATGCCATTTCTGAAGAACAAAAACAGCCAAGATGGTGCTCTTAGTATACAATACCTCTCACCCCTGCCAATTGCCTGGTTCACTGCTTATATTTGTGGACTGGACCCCTGAAGACTCATTAGGGCCTTCTCTCATTGTCTCCTCCACCTAGTTCCTTGTTTCAGGTGTGTGTGTGCGTGGATGCACACACACACGCATATGTTGGAGGAATAGCATTTGTAGGAATCATCTCGTGTGATCAAAAGTTTGTCTTATGTAATTCATCAAGTGAATATTTAGGGAAGATTATTTCTGTAATTGGCTGCTTTTGAAAGAAATTTACTTAAGTACTTACATAAAATAAGTAGGCTGGACTTAAGTATACTTCCCTGTTACTAATTAAATATTGTTCACTGAAAGCTTTTGGAATTTTTGTTGTTATCTAAAATATCAAACATTTTTATGTATCACTGTAGGTACCAAGTATTAATCTTTACACTATTGAATTAACACATGGGGAATTTAAATGGCAAGTTAAGAGGAAATTCAAGCACTTTCAAGAATTTCACAGAGAGCTGCTCAAGTACAAAGCCTTTATCCGAATCCCCATTCCCACCAGAAGGTAACCATTTTGGAATTAATTATGCCAGTATACAAGTTGAATGGAAAGTGTATTTTGGCTGGGTGTGGTGGCTCACGCCTGTAATCTCACCACTTTGGGAGGCTGAGGCAGGAGGATCACTTGAGGCCATGAGTTTGAGACTAGCCTGGGTAACGTAGCAAGACCTCCTTTCTACAAAAAAAAAATGAAAAATTTAGCTGGATGCGGTGGCACGTGGTGGTAGCTAGTAGTTCTACCTACTCAGCTGCAACAGGGGGATTGCTTGAGCCCAAGAGTTTAAAACTACAGTGAGCATGATTGTACCACTGCACTCCATCCTGGGCAACAGAGCACACCCAGTCTCTAAAATAAATAAATAAAAAGTGTATTTAATTCACAGTATTGGCTAACTAGTCTATTGTTGGTAGATATTTTCAATTAAATAGTGTCTTAAAAATATGCCATCTCATGAAAGATACATTAAAGTCATAGTCACAGAATAATCTAGTAAGTGTTTGCATTCTGTGTGTTTGTGTTTTAGACACACATTTAGGAGGCAAAACGTCAGAGAGGAGCCTCGAGAGATGCCCAGTTTGCCCCGTTCATCTGAAAACATGATAAGAGAAGAACAATTCCTTGGTAGAAGAGTACGTTGCTTCACTATTCTGTTGTTTTGAACCTAATTTTGCAGTGCGGTAGAAACACAGCATCTACTGAGGGGTGAAGTAGGCCTGGCTACAACTCCTCTGATCCACTCATCGATCCCCCAGGCTGGTTTAGCTTTTCTGGAACTAGTTAGGCAGTCCCTTCTTTCCCCAAGCCATACAATGCATTTTCTCAGAAGGGGAAGATCGTTTTTGGTTAGGACTTAACATTATGAAGAAGCTGTTCTCCCGACTAGAACCTTTTTGAGCTTATTGTGAGTCAAAGATTGAACTCATTGTTGGGGATTTTGAGATCTACTCTTTTAAAATAATATATTTCCATACATAAGCTTCTGTGTTCGTAATAGCCCATCTTAAATAAATGTAAAATCTCATTCCTAAACTATAGATGGAGCAGTTAGGGCCTGAGAAGAGTATGACGGAGTACAGACCGGCACAGCACGGGGACAGAAAACTCCAGGGGAGGGGCACTTCCGCCTGCTTCCAAGATGGGTGCTACAGAGTGTGGACGATTAATTTTTTTTTTTACTAGAAAGTGAACAAGTGTTTGTTAATTTCTGTCAGTTCTGTTTGGTAATCTGAAACATTTATGTTCCAGAGGGAATGTTTGATTTCTCCTTTGTAGTTGTCATCTTGGCTAAAATCTCTGTAGGTATCTGGACCAAATATTTTCCAAGATACCTAGACATATACAATTATATAGTGTTGGTTTACTGTGTGCACATGTGTGAATTCAGCTGAAAATGAAACTTAGTGATTAAGCAAAACCATGCTGAATTTTATGTCATGGTCAATATGATTGACATCTGTTGCTCCAGTGCCCCAAGCCTATATCCCTCTACTCCCCATCTGCCTCCACACACAGTTTAGCATATTTAAAATCAGTACATTCTACTAGAAAGTCATTTAACCTCTCTCCACTTTTTTTCCTGGAAAGCTGTTTAAAAATTGTAGTGTATCTTTCAGTAAGTTCAGTGTTAGAATTGAAAAAAAAATGAAAGTTTTTGGTAATAGCAACAAATTCTTTAAAACAACTTATAGCAAGTCCTGCTATAATAGCTATGGAGGATTAAAAGAATATATAGCTCAGGGCTTGTCAGCAGTTTATAGAAGACCTAAGCATATGGAAAGTTAAAAAGTAAGAAGATATTTAAATAACAGTTCAAGAGAATTATGGAAATGACAGACTAATGCTATTCAGGATTCCTTGCTCCATGATTATATTATTAAATAATTGAATAACTTATACAAGTTAAGATGAAAATGATGATCTCATCATTGTCACTACTGTTTAATTTTTAAAAATAAATATGACCATGTTAACACTTACCTAAATTATTTGCATTACAGAAACAACTGGAAGATTACTTGACAAAGATACTAAAAATGCCCATGTATCGAAACTATCATGCCACAGTAAGTACTAGTCAGTGATTTGAGTTTGGAGTAATTTTCACTATAGTAAATTGTCAGCTAAATTTTGGATCATTTTATTAACACAAGTGATTGTATCCACATCTACATTCGTCCTTGAATTAAATTAAGTGAGTACAAAGTTGATTTGACAGCAAGGTCCAGTTTACAATGGTGTGATACTGTTTAAAAAAGTTGAATGAACTTAATATGTCTATAAAAATAGATTTAAATGAACTTGAAATGCTTCTATAAGCTAGATTATCTAGCAATCAGCCTTCTTCTCTTCTCAGGTTTCCAGGAAAATGCCAAAAAACATTTTTAGCTACAAAGAGTAACTGTTGAGTAGTAAGTGATGAAAACAGTTGAGGGGAGTTGAATGCCTAAAGATTTTGTGGTGGGTAGGGCGGTTGCCATCTGATTGGCTTGTCATGCCTGTTAAAGGCCTGTCTTTTCATTCCAAAGTGAGAAGCATGGGAAAAGCTAGGAAAGAAAAAACGCTTGAGGAATCCAAGTAAAGAGAGAAGAGGTGATGGGGCTTAGATGCAGCCACAGAAATTAAGCTTGGGTTATGCAGCTGGCAAGCAGGGAGGGAGTAGGTTTCCTAGTGTCAGCTAACAGTTAGCTCTGAGCTGTTAAAGGTGGGGTGTTTCTAAAGGTTTAGCCTTCAATTATCCAGAGGTCTGGATAACTGAGAATGCACTGGTTTATTGGATGTATGTATGCCTTTGTATGAATTGTATTGTTTTGGGGCCATGTGCATCTATATTATATGTGTGCAGAACTCAAGAGTTGGTGCAATTGTGATTTGGCCACTAGTTTAGATGGCATCACATAAACACATAAACAGAAAGAGGAAAGACCTTAGTGTATTTTGGAGAGGATTCAAGAGCAATTGGCTCTGTGAGTTTCTCATAACAGGAGCTGCCTCGCTGCTGCCTTGCAACACACAGTTTGGAGTCTGGTCCAAATATACATCCAGCTGGTCCCCATTGCACACAGCTGACCTGAGTCTAGGTCACTACCTGCCTCCTGCAGCAGCTTGCACTGGGGCATTCGATGGACTTGAGGGAGCTTCTATGTCTTGGTAAACCTGGAGAAGGGTTTTCTGAGGAAAACAGGAATTCAGATTGCACCAGAGAATCTCAAGAGAAGGATGATGGGAGGCAGGAGTTTCTTTTCTTCTGGGACTCAGTAACTTGTATTGTTGAAATAACATAATGAATAAGGATACTACTACTATTGTTAATAAAAATGATACCTCCTGTTGTGTTGTCTGAAATCAGACAACAGACAATTATTTAAATGTGTATTAGTACCCATATGCAATAATTTTCCATTTCTTTTACTTTTCTGCCTGCCTGTGACTTTACTTTCACTATTTCTTTTGGCTTTAACAGTTCTTGGTGAGTTCATTCTTCTCTTTTTATGTACTTTTCTACATTTGGGATTCTACTATTGACTAAAGAATGTTTACGTTTAAAAAATGTTCATTTTAATACTTTTCTGGTCATAAAAATATTTTCAAAGTTAAGCCATGTTGTATTTAGAAATTCCAGAGTGACCTATAAACATTTCCTTTGGAAGGGAAAGCCTCATTAGCAACTGGCTGAGGAGATTCTCCCTTTTATTTTCTTTTTCTATTTTTTTCCTTTTTATTTTTTATTATTATTTTTTTTTTTGAGATGGAGTCTCACTCTGTTGCCCAGGCTGGAGTGCAGTGGCATGACCTCGGCTCACTGCAACCTCCGCCTCCCAGGTTCAAGCAATTCCCCTTCCTCAACCTCCCAAGTAGCTGGGACTACAGGCGCCCGCCACTACGCCCAGCTAATTTTTGTATTTTTTGTAGAGACAAAGTTTCACCATGTTGGCCAGGATGGTCTCGATCCCTTGACCTTGTGATCCGCCTACCTCGGTCTCCCAAAGTGCTGGGATTACAGGCGTAGCCACCGCACCCAGGCTCCCTCTCATTTTTGATGGTTACTGAGATTATTCTCTCCAACAGCTGAATTGTTCAATATGATTCAAGCACAGGATACAATTTGATATACATTAATTCTCTAACGTTCTTTTTCTTTAAATGTAGTCTGGCCTAAAGACTAGATCTGTAGGCCTCTGCCTCATATTTGTGAAATGAGATTGGAATCTATGTGTTTTCTTCAATAATTGTGAGAAATATTAAAAAACTGTTTGTTAAAAATGCTTTACTGTCTGTAAAAAGCATATTAAAAGTTATTTTAACATGTATATAATAAATTTACATTTTTATAAGTATAAAACAAACCTATTTTAAGTGAATTCAGGTCCTTAAGCAGATAGAATCATGGATCAGAGGTCAAGGGACTGAACAGGATATGTTCTTAATCTCTATAGGGCCATCCAGATCTGTATTTGGAACAAGTGTGTTTAACAAATAGCTCAAGTGATTCTTACCATCGGGAGTTTGAGAACTAAACTAAAATGCTATGGTCAGCTTAGAAATGTCTTGGTAAAGTTAGACCACTTTAAAAAGTGGAGATAGGGCTGGGCATGGTGGCTCATGCCTACAATCCCAGCATTTTGGGAGGCTGAGGCAGGTAGATCACCTGAGGTCAGGAGTTCGAGACCAGCCTGGACAACATGGTGAAACCTTGTCTCTACTAAAAATACAAAAATTAGCCAGGCGTGTTGATGGGCGCCTGTAATCCCAGCTACTTGGGAGACTGAGACAGAAGAATCGCTTGAACCTGGGAGGTAGAGGTTGCAGTGAGCCACGATTGAGCTACTGCACTCCAGCCTGGGCTACAGGGCAAGACTCCGCCTTAAAAAAAAAAAAAAAAGTGGAGATAAATTTATTATAAAGGTGTTTGTATAATAGGATTTTTGCCAAAGGAATTTGGTTTAGGGTTCTAAACACTGACATTATTTTTCTTAAATGGCCCCTGAAATTAGACATGGACAGTTCTTTCCTCTCACTTTATAGTCATTGGTTGGGTTTGTGCTCAGACTTTTCTCCCATGATTATGAAGACTTGCTCTGATTTTAATTCTTTTTTTTCCTTCTTACGCTTCTGCAAAACAGAGCATCCTAGTGTTTTAGTGTAGTCATCATCAGACAGTCCCCTCAGAGACTATGGGTGATTTGTTCAGTTTTCTTTGCTCATTTGTAAAATGAGGACAAATGTATTTCCCCTTTACTCTAAGCATAAATATGTAAAAAATACCAATATCTGAGTTGTGTAATAACATATAAAAAAATCTCAAACAGGAATTCCTTTTGTATTCTGAAATTGTATTAGTGCTGGCTGTGGTAGAGAACTCACTAGCTAGGCATTTTAATTAGTAACTGGAAAATGTTTATTTTCCAGGGAATTAAAATAAGAGGAATAAGGAGCAGTAAATGTACCTTTTTCATACGTGAGATTGAAATCTAGAAATGGAACAAACTGTACAATTTCCAAGAGAAGGGCCCTAAACTGATAGGATCATATCTCTACCTTGAAGTGAATCATTTAACTCATGTGACTCAGATTCCTTATCCCCAAGAAGATGATTAGCTTCAAATCTTGGATAAAACATGCCACAGATCAGTAATACTGTGTTCATCTCTCCCTTGTTTTGTAGAATGAGCTTTAACTTGAGGGGAAGAGTAGGTAAAGAATAAACATGCACGCAGTGTTTTCATTCCAACAGGGAAAAGCTGTACTAATTTGAACAGCTGCCTCTTCAAATTAAGGGAAATGTTTTCTTTCTTACGATTGAGTCTTAGCATTTAGAAGGACTTTAGGCCTTTGTCCAGCCTCCCAGTTTCCTTCATAGATTAGATGTCCTCTTTGTTCCCTGCCTTTCCTGGAGTACCTGAGTCTACAAGGACATTGCCCAGCTCGATGCTCTTCCTTCCTTGTATCTGATAATTTCCCACCTGGCCATTTACTTGAGTTTTTGCTACCTGGGAAATAAAAGGAGCCTCTGAAAGTCACCCTTCTCTTACAATACAAGGATGGGTGGAAGGGGCAGTGTGTACGTGATTGCCAAGTGATTTTCAGGATTTTTTGTTACCCCTTGGGTTTGTTGTTTGTCTCTTGACATAGAAATATTTTTGCTTCTCTGTTTCTCTAACGTTTTTAGTATCCAATTGGTAGATCACGTTGGAATTTTTTACTTGAGACCACTTTCCACCTAGTGCCAAGAACATTATTGCATTGCAACATTATTTCAGTTGTATTCATATTTTACAAATTCCTTTGCCAAAAAACAAAGACAAAAAGGTATTGATTATACATTACTCAAAAGATCAATAGAATAAGCCCCGTGAAATACTGTTAGGCTAAATTGATCTTTAAATTCTTATTCCTGAGAATCGCTTGCCCAAATGGAGAATAGAATTCTTATCACTGAAGACGTACTAAGAAGTTTAGACAACATCATCTTTGTTAAATTTTAATTTTTATTAGTTAGGTTTGCCTCTCAGTTGACCCTGACGCACTTACTTTCAATTTGATAACTCTATTAGAAAAACTTTTATTGCCAGATATGTTCTTTTCTATATAATAGGCCTGGTTCCTTCTTAAAATCTCTCTCCAGTCAAACTTTACTAAGCCATTAGGATAAATTAAATTTCATATTAATGTGTAACTTTCAATTTTCTACATTATTAATGTGTGCTTATCTACTTGGCTGAGACTCTTTACACTTAGCAGTTTTGTTATGATACTCCAAAAGTTACGATTTCTGAATGATTTCGGAGAATATTTCTGTTGTCAGCTATTTGATGATAACAGCTATGTAAATAAGAACATTTTTTTCTTATTTAGATTAGTGGCTTCCTTGATTTTTGTTTTCATTTCCTGTTCTTCCCTTCGGTTGTTCTGGGACTTTGCAGAAGTTAGCTATGCCTCCGTAGTAGAGTATAGTCTTCAAATATAAAGTAGGACTGACATTATTTGTCTGCTCGCTAGAGATAAAAGTTATGACTTAGGATTTTAAAATATTTTGGATTTTATGGCTGGCAATCTGTGAGTCATTTCCAATAACCCATAGGTTACTACATTTTCCAATTAAGAAGCGTTTTCACAAACCAGATAAAAATGCATGATACTGAGTGAATCACTGTTTTATATAAGAAATGAAATGTAAAGACCTTGAGGTGTTTTTGTTTTTTGTTTTTTGTTTTTTTTTGAGACAGTCCCACCGTGTTGCCCAGGCTGGAGTGCAGGGGCATGATCTCCGCTGACTGCAAACTCACCTCCTGGGTTCGAGTGATTCTCCTGCCTCAGCCTCTGCCTCCTGAGTAGCTGGAATTACAGGCATGCACCACCACACCCGGCTAATTTTTGTACTTTTAGTAGAGATGAGGTTTTGCCATGTTGGCCAGGCTGGTCTTGAACTCTTGACCTCAAGTGATCCACCCACCTTGGCCTTCCAAAATGCCGGGATTACAGGCGTGAGCCAGTATGCCTGGGTGAGACCTTGACTTTTTAAATTCTCAATTTAAAAAATGCTGTATGAAGATACCTTTGACTTAGGATTTTAAAACGATAAGTCCTTTTGAATTTTAAAGACTATTTTCTGCAAATAACCCCAAGAAAAGAGAAAAATGCAAGCATTTAAATTAACCTTACAAAGATAGACAGTCTTGAGATATTTGTAATTTTTTTTTTTTTTTACAAGAGTAGTGTTAGATATGTCCAATCACATATAAAACTGTCATGGAAAACGTTTGTTTTGTTAATCCCATTTACAAACCTAGATCAAATGCCCCTGCATCTGTGATGATGTCATGTCAGCTAGGAGGTGGTTGCCCTCCACTACTCTATAACTCTGTAACTACTTTCACATGCATCTAGGGTGGTTCATCCCACAGAACTTCATTGAGGGGAGTGTTTTCTATATTTGGTCTCCCGTCTGCTTCCTAATGCTGGGAGAGTATCCTTTTAGTCTCTGTTGTCTATCAAGGCTGTTATTGACATGGTCTAAGGAACTGAACTTATTCTTGGTCACGTTTTTAAAAAATCTGCAAATCTGCATATGCTAACCATGACATAATGTTGATTTGTTTTTCCCTCTATGCCTCCACATTTACATCTGGCCCTCACCTACCTAGAATACGCAAGGAATGCAATTTGAGTTAGATAAATGTTGAATGACTTTTGGCTTTTGCAGCTTAGTTTTGAGGGCGCTGACTTTGGTCTGACTTCATAATGAGTTAATCATACTGAGGTAACCTTCTTAACTGTGTGATCTTGGACAACTTACTTGACTTCTCTAAAACAGAGGCCTGCAAACTAGGGCCCGTGGACCAAATCCTGCCCATTGCCCATTGCCTGTTTTTGTATGTTCTATGAACTAAGAATAGTTTTTATATTTTTAAGTGGTTGAAAAAATCAAATGAATAATAATATTTTGTGACACAGAAAAATTAGATTATCTTCGTGTTTTATATCCATAAATAAGGTTTTATTGGAACACAACCACAGTTATTCATTTATATATGTGTCTATGGCTATTTCCGTGCTACAACAGCAGAGTAACTGCAAAATGAAATGTATGCCCACAAAGCCCAAAATATTTACTGTCTGGCTCTTTGTGGAAAATATTTGCTTATGCCTACTCTAAACCTCAGTTTCCTCTTCTGTACAATGGGAAATATAGCACCTGCTTCAAAGGGGTTTGAGATAATGCATGAAAAATGGTTAGCATAACACCAACACATAGCACTCAGTAAGCACAGCCACAGTTGTTGTTATAATATTTACAGTTTTTAACCTTCCAATACAGTGAAGGTGGGCCTAAAATTCTCTTCCTCTTCAACTCATTAAAAATCATTCTTTTTGTTATGCCTGATGTTCAAAGCCCTCCCCACTCTCTTTTCAGCCTGTTCAATTTTTCATTTTTTCCTTCATTTTACTCACTGTAACCCAACTGTACATCCTATAACCTTTTTGGACCTTCTGTTCTAGCCCCCCCATTCATCTCCCATTTCCGTGTGCCCAAATCGAGTCCATCTTCCAGGTCCTGCACCAGTATCACTCGCTTCTCACATTCTTTTATTGTTTGAGTGTACACTGTGCCACACAATATCCACCCTGCGCAACAAAAACAAACATGAAAGAATATTGGGAATAGACTCTCTCTCTCTCCAAGCTTCTTGAGCATTTTATCTCTGTATCTTAGGGCACACATCACTCTCTTGAGATTTAGAAGATCTAGTAGGGTGTGTCTTCATTATTTATATACTTCTAATCTGCACTCTTTTAGGGCAATGCCATTATTATTGATCTCTGTAGTCTGTGGAACACACCAAACAGTATGTACACACAGCTATACCTAATACATGTTTTTTAATGCATAAATTTGAATTGTTTTGCTTGCTAAAGATGGATTTTTTTGCCTCTTTTCAGACAGAGTTTCTTGATATAAGCCAGCTATCTTTCATCCATGATTTGGGACCAAAGGGCATGTAAGTTGCAATAAACCTTGAAAGAGAAGTATGAAAAGTTGATATGCATTAACACTTAATATAGCAGCATGCCATGGTGATGGAGTCCTCCTGGCTTTACTGCTAGCTTCTGTTCTCCCCAGTAGAGTTAAAGCAACTGATGGAATTACTCATACAAATCAGAGCATCTCCCGTGATAAACAATGGTAGCAACTGCTCCACTGTCTTTGTCATGTGCTTACAGCACAGATTCTTTCTAACCCAACAGTGGAAGTGTCCAATACCTATAGCAAGTATGATGTGTAGGAGAATACATTAAAAATCAAGTATATAAGATCTCCTTTTATAATCCCTTATAAAGTTAAATGTTTATACTCATTTTGATGATTACTTTAAAATAATACTATGTAAAATATATGTTGTATAACCAGATGGAAGTTTATGATTTTCCTTCACAATATTAGAGCTTGAAAACATAAAGAGCTTAACTTTCAAGCTCTAGTTAAGAGCGTTGTTGATAGTTGTTTCAAAAAGGTTTTTTTTTTTAAGTTTAGCCTTTGTTATTGCTTTTTCTTGTCACATTTTTCAGAATTAAGATATTGTTTTCAAAACTAGTAGCTGTGCTCTGCTTCCTTTGGCATGGCTCAATTAGCTCAACTAGTTTGTTAGTTTGCTAGAACTGTGTGTGAAGAGACACAGGGATGTCCTGGAATCTGTGTGTGAGATGCACCATGGTCTCAACAGCAGGTGAAGCATCCCTGTGCAGGCATGTGGAAATGCATGGAGTCTTTTTTTAGTTTGTCACAGTGTCACAATGTTGAGGAGGGAACACTCAACATTTAGAGCCAGGAGACAGAATGCTTAAGGTCCTGTGTAGTGCACAACAGAATCACACCGCCCTGAATGCTGAAGGGGCTATATCTCACCAGTATGTCTTAGGGTTCATCTGTAGAGTACCCAGCCTAACAATTAGGGTACTGAGCTAGTTGAGAGCGAGCAGGAGAGAGTAGGGAGGAAAGTCGTGTGAGAATGAGATGGTTTATTTAGTCCCATGTTGGGAGGCTATACAAGCTAAGTGGGAGCAGGAAATTTGAAGGTGATGGGTTAATTTTATGTCTCTTTCAGAGAAGGTATGATAATGAAAAGATCTGGAGGACACAGAATACCAGGCTTGAATTGCTGTGGTCAGGGAAGAGCCTGCTACAGATGGTCAAAAAGGTAGGAATTAGTAAGTTTTGTGTGTTTGTTTGTTTTAATACACTGGGTATTTGGGTTAGTTTTACATACCAGTTTTAAATTATAAATCCTTTAAAAGTCATGACAGAAGAAATTTTTAGTTATATTTTAAAATCCAAGTTCCAGCATTCATTTAAATATTCTACCCAAAGCTGAACTTGTAGGCTAAGTGTACAAATTATATTCATGAAAACCCAAGGACACAGAAGGCACAAATTGGCTAGCCAAAGAAGATGTACAAATGGCTAGTAAGTATACAAAAAGATGCTCAACATTACTAGTCATTATGGAAATGTAAATCAAATCCACAGTGAGATACAATTTCACACCGTTAGGATGGCTATAATTAAAGAGATGGACAATAACAAATGGTGGTGAGGGTGTAGAGAAACTGGAATATTTTCTGTAGAGAAACCTCAGATATTGCTAATGGAAATGTAAAATGGTGCAGCCACTTTGGAAAACAGTCTGGCAGTTCTTTAAACTGTTAAACGTAGTTTCCACATGTCCCAGCAATTCCAGGGATTCACCTAGGAGAATTGAAAAAAATATGTCTACACTAAAACTTTTCCATAGCAGTATTATAATAGCAGTATTATGGATAATAGCCTTACAAGTGGAAACAATTCAAATGTTCATCAATTGATGAATGAATAAACAAAAATGTGGTATTCCCATACAGTGGAATATTATCCAGTCGTAAAAGGAATAAATCACATCAAGTTAAAAACCTTCTGTACAGCAAAGGAAACAATCAACAAAGTGAAGAGATAAACCACAAAATGGGAGAAAATACCTACAAACTACCTGTGTAATAAGGGATTAAGAACCAGAAAGAACTCTACAGGAAAAAAAAATCTGATTTAAAAATAATCTGATTTAAAAATAGGCAAAAGATCTGAATATACATTTCTTGAAAGAAGACATACAAATGGCAAACTGGTGTATGAAAAGGTGCTCAATATCATTGATCATCAGAGAAATGCAAATGAAAACCACAATGAGATATCATCCACTCCAGTTAAAATGGCTTTTATCCAAAAGACAGGCAGTAACAAATGCTGGTGAGGATATGGAGAAAGGGGAACCATCATACACTGTTGATGGGCATGTAAATTAGTGCAACCACTATGGAGAACAGTTTGAGGTTCCTCAAAAAACTCAAAATACAGCTACCATATGATCTAGCAATTCCACTTCTAGGTATATACCCAAAAGAAGGAAATCAGTATATCGAAGATATATTTGCACTTCCATCTTTGTTGCAGCACTATTCACAATAGCCAAGATTTGGAAGCAACTCAGGTGTTCATCAACAGATGAATGGATAAAGAAAATGTGGTACATATACACAATGGAGTACTATCCAGCCATAGAAAAGAATGAGATCCTGTCATTTGCAACAACATGGATGGATCTAGAGGTCATTATGTTAAGTTAAATAAGCCAGGCACAGAAAGACAATCTTTGCATGTTCTCAGTTACTAGTGGGAGCTAAAAATTAAAACAATTGAACTCATGGAGATTTTATCAGAGGCTGGGGGAAAGGCAGCATGGAGGCGGGTAGTGGGGATGGTTAAGGGATACAAACAAATGGGATAATTAAGATCTAGTATTTGATAGCACAACAGGTGACTATAGTCAATACTAGTTTAATTGTATGTTTTAAAATAACTAAAAGTGTAACTGAATTGTTTGTAACATAAAGGATAATGCTTGAGGTGATGGATACCCCATTTATCCTGATGTGATTATTACACATTGTATGCTTGTATCAAAGTATGTCATATACCCCATAAATATATAGACCTACTAGGTACCCACAGAAATGAAAAATAAATTAAAAAAAGAAAAGAAATGAAGACCACTGATGGTCATGGAGTTTCTTTATGGGGTGATGAAAATATTCTGACATAAGATGGTAGTGACGGTTGCACAACTTTGTGAATATGCTAAAAACCTTTGCATTGTAAACTTTAAAAGGTAAGTTTTATGATATGTGAATTCATCTGAATAAAAATTTAAAATTAAATGAAAAAGCATATGAAGTTCTGATACATACTATAATGTGGATGAACCCTGAAAACATGGTAAATGAAAAAATCCAGATACAGAAAGGCACATATTATATGATTCTTATTTATATGAAATATTCAGAATAGACAAATCTGTAGAGACAGAAGTAGATAAAGGGTTTGTTTCCAGGGGATGGGGAGGAAGTTGCTTTCTATTAATTTGATACTGGTATGGGGTTTCTTTTTGGGCCAATGAAAATATTTTAGAACTAGATAGTGGTGACGGTTATACAACTTTGTGAATATGCTAAACATCAAACTAAACTGTACACTTTAAAAAAACTTAAGTAAAATTGTGCAGACGTCAGGGATGGTAATTTTAGACTTACATTTGTGAAAAATGTTTATCATGGTAAGTGTAATATAGACAGAAAACTTTATTTTATGTCTTACGTCTTACCAATTAAAAACTCCTTGAGGAACAATATTTTCATCCGATTCTTATCTGTATCCCCCAAGTTTGGCAAATAATAGACAAAAACTGTTGCAATAACAATGTACCGGGGTTTTGAAAAACTATTAAAACACTTAAGAAATCAGTTATAAATATTTTATCTGTATATATAATATTTCCCCCAAATTGAAAATGATAAATGTGGAATTGAGCTATGTGTATATTCAAAATATGTAAAATTAATACTGGCATCTACCTTTACACATATCAATTTAAGATATACTACCAACAAAAAATACCATTAAGTTGGGCCTTTACTTTGTGGACTTTGAAAGGACAGAAGAAATTACAAGGAAAAGATCAGAAGATTAGGGGGGCAGAGCAAGATGGCCGAATAGGAACAGCTCCAGTCTCCAACTCCCAGTGCGAGCGACACAGAAGACAGGTGATTTCTGCATTTTCAACTGAGGTACTGGGTTCATCTCACTAGGGAGTGCCGGACAATTGGTGCTGGTCAGCTGCTGCATTCTCTTACATATGTATACTTGTGGCCATGTTGGTGTGATGCACCCATCAACTCCGTCAGCACCCCATCAACTCGCTTACATCAGGGTATAACACCCAACTGGCAATCGCTCCTCCTCCCCCTCCCCCATGATAGGCCCAGTGTGTGATGTTCCCCTCACCGAGTCAAGTGATCTCATTGTTCAGTTTCACATCTATGAGTGAGAACATGCGGTGTTGTTTTCTGTTCTTGCGATAGTTTGCTAAGAATGAATGGTTCCAGCTGATCCATGTCTCCCCTCCACACAAAGGACACACCCGCACACTATCCCCCTTCTCTATGCGCTGCATAGTATTCATGGTGGTATAATGTTGCCACGTTTGCCTTAATCCCAGTCTCGTCACTGATCGGAATCTTGGCGTTGAAGTTCCAAAGGTCTTGCTATTGGTGAATACGCGCCCGCCAATACAA